TAGCACCGAGCTTGGAGATTGTCATCTTTATGACGTAAATACGCTCCATACTCATCCAAGGTCTGATCTTCGGGTGGAGGAGGAGGAGCTGTATCCAATACATAATCCCTCTTCTCCGATTGAAGAACAATTTTTAGGTTCCTTAGCCAATCGTTAAAATTGGGTCCAGTTAATTTGTTTTGTTCAAGGATACTTGCGATTGGATTTTTAGCCATTTAGTAGATTGATCTACAAAACAACACACGAAGCAGAAAATAATTAGACTATGGAATTCATATTCATTTAATATTAGGTCTTTAAATATTAAATGTCTCCCACTAATTTAATTAAACCCCATTTTAATTATGAAAATCTAATTTTCATAGTGGGCTTGAAGTCCAATAAAAATATTTTATATCTCAAGAATATGAGTACGCATGGAACATTTATACTGGTAGTCAACTTTTTGACAATTGTATCAATATACAATCTTCAAGATATTTTGCCTCACCTTTCCTTATATACCTCAAGAATATGACCGTATATATTACTCGGTGTCAAATCAAACCCATCAAAACTTTCATGATAACGGCCCACCAGAGTGTCCCACGACTCATGGTCAACACAAAGATGAATCCGTCTCACAAGTATCAATATACGTAGTAGGGATCACAGCTTTCGACACAAAACCACCCCACGACTCATGGTCAGTGATAGAGCATCGTAGCATCTCATGTCGTCTATTTTTTATGATGGAAGGCCTGGATTAATAAGTCCCAGCTTATTTTTATCCATTATTGATATGATATGAATTAATCTTATTAATTCTTTCCGTGATCTCATCGTTTACCATCTTTACGTTTATTTACCGTTTCATCCATCGCATGAATCAAAAGCATAAATAAACCTAACATACATCTAATGCATGCATACGGTGGGATGATCATGTCCTTGCCTATACGACCCATTCGAGCCAAAATGGGTCTATGCCTATGTATGTGATAAAACAAATAAATAGAACTACTTCTATTACAGTTCATTTTATCTACCCGTACAAGCACAGGCCTTCGAGATTTACAACTTGTAAAATTACCCACACAAGCATGGGCCTTTTGCATCGAACGGTCTCCACCTTGATCTTATCTTTTAACGATACAAAAACTTAAAATTTTACAAATCATAATTCAAGAGACTCGCAGGTCTCGATAAATTACATCCGTTCAATCACATTGAATAAAATACAATCATTCATCCATATTGAATAAAACATTCAAACATTCAATCATATTGAAAAATGCAGCATTCAATCATGTTGAATAAAAGGCTCATGATCATCCCTAAGTTAAACCATTCATCACATAAATTAAAATACGATAGGCTCATTGCACCTGACACGGCCCGTGTCGGAGGTCGTGTCACCTGACACGGCCTATGACACGCCCGTGTCAGGGATCTCGTCAAAATGCCGAGAGCAACTTAACATCAATTTTGTAACTTAACCTGACACGGCCCGTGTCAGCTCTGGGCTCCTTGAAAAAAACTTTTTTTTTTATTTTAATAATTAATATGTTTATCTCATAAACATTTAATTATCTTGTTTATCACATAAACATTATAATTATCTTGTTTATCACATAAACATTATAATTATCTTGTTTATCATATAAACATTAACAAATCAAAATCTGTTTTTAAAGATGATAACCGTGTCTCTGATACCACTGTTGAGATCGCCTGTAACGTACGAGCTATACGCAACGGAATTTAATTTTTTTTTAAAACATGTATTTAACAATTAAATACATAACTCGTACATACATATGTCGAATAAACATATCGTCATCTTTAAAAACATGTAATAATAATAAATTTTGATTTATTATAAGTAATTTCGAAAATTACCTTAGTTCTTGAACTCCTTCAAAATCGATGATGATTGAGGAAATCAATTCCCGGTTTGATAACGTCAACTCCTTGATGCTACTCGCTTTAGGAATCCAAACGTCTTCCCTCTAATCGTATCCACCTTTTGAAGTCCGGTTCCGACAATAGTTCCTTCGCTAGTAGAAACTACTCGGTTTTTCAATAAGTATGGAATATATATATTTATAAGGAAATTTTCAAGAACTCTTTCTTGATATATCACTCAACTCTTTGAATGTATTTTCTCTTGGAAGAAATCTTGCTCAAGACTTAGCAAATTTTGTGCAAACATTTTTGCAGCTATTTATACTAAACATTTTAGCATAAAATAATCAATATTTGATAATTAATTATTTTTAAATAAAATCAGATTTTATTTAAAAATTCATACCAAATATTGACTTTTAATAAATAATATGGAGTGGTTTATAACCACCATCAACTACCATTATTTTGTCTCTCAATTATTTGAATCTTTAATCATATTGAAGATAAAATAATAAAATAATAATTCTTGAAAACATTTTTCAAGACTTTATTATTTTAATCTTTTCTTCCAATTTCCTTATTTAATAATCATA